GGCATAATCCAACACCGACAAGTCAGGGCTGCGCTTTGGGATCTCGAAGACAAGTAAACCTGCGTCGCACTTGGCAGCAATGCCCTTGGCCGACTTGTACCCAGTAGGGTCGTTGTCCTCCAAGATCGTGAAGCGGCGTTTGGCGGGCGAAGCTTTCTTCAAGTCACGCGCCAAAGTGTGGTAGAAGCTGGCGGCAGCCTGGCCACTCCAGCGGCCATCGGTGACCTCGTGCACGGTGACAGCCTTACCTTTCCCGACGCCCACCTGCAGGAGAACCCCTTTGGCCCCGGTGTTGTGACGCAAGTTGCCAGCCTTTGGCTTCACATACCCACCACATAAGCCCTTGCCAGGGCGGCGATAGGCGCCGTACGTGGCATGCTGCGCTGCCCGGCAGCGCTCCTTCCCATTCAGGTAGACCTGGAAGTGCTTTCCATCAATGAAGGCATCAACGTTCTTGACCCACCAGGCCCTGCTCTTGCTGCGATACTTCTTGGCGAAGTGAAAGCGTGCTCGGACATCCTCGGGGGTGAGCAGAGGCTTTTCCCGCAGCTTGCGGAAGTAGATGTTGCGATCGTGCAGAGCCCTGAGTATGCTGCGGCACGAAGCCTTGGTCTTTGTTGTCTTCTTCAGGTCCTGGACGGTAACAGTGCGCTGCCCATTGGCCTTCACGATCATGTCGTCCAGCTTCTTCTCGAGGAAGTCGACTTGCGCCATGGTTAGAGAGCAAGGGCGGCCTTGCTTCAAGACAGGCTTCTGAAGACAGAGCAAGCGGGTCACTGATGACGTGTCCCTTCCGAGCAACTCGCCGATCTCTGACGGCTTCTTGCCCTGAGAGTACCACTTCTTGGCCAGGCCGCGTTCATTCTCGGACATCTTGGTCCAACCAGCCTCCGGCATGGCGACGCTGACAGACACTGAAGGTCAAGCTGCGAGACGAGAGCTAGAAGCTGCGGCGCGCGCAGCCATGCAGCCAACAAGTCAGCGCGTGATCTGCCATTTTGCCCTTTCCCCCGAACATGGAACATGCGCACAGCGTACGTAGCACAGCTGACTGCATGTACATGTTGCTGTCAAGACAGAGCACTGGAATTCCTGCACGCACATGCTGCTGACAAGACACCAGTTTGCCCTTTCCCCCGAACATGGAACATGCGCACAGCGTACGTAGCACAGCTGACTGCATGTACATGTTGCTGTCAAGACAGAGCACTGCAATTCCTGCACGCACATGCTGCTGACAAGACACCAGTTTGCCCTTTCCCCCGAACATGGAACATGCGCACAGCGTACGTAGCACAGCTGACTGCATGTACATGTTGCTGTCAAGACAGAGCACTGGAAGTCCTGCACGCACATGCTGCTGACAAGACACCAGTTTGCCCCCGAACATGGAACATGCGCACAGCGTACGTAGCACAGCTGACTGCATGTACATGTTGCTGTCAAGACAGAGCACTGCAAGTCCTGCACGCACATGCTGCTGACAAGACATCTGCCAGTTTGCCCTTTCCCCCGAACATGGAACATGCGCACAGCGTACGTAGCACAGCTGACTGCATGTACATGTTGCTGTCAAGACAGAGCACTGGAATTCCTGCACGCACATGCTGCTGACAAGACACCAGTTTGCCCCCGAACATGGAACATGCGCACAGCGTACGTAGCACAGCTGACTGCATGTACATGTTGCTGTCAAGACAGAGCACTGCAAGTCCTGCACGCACATGCTGCTGACAAGACATCTGCCAGTTTGCCCTTTCCCCCGAACATGGAACATGCGCACAGCGTACGTAGCACAGCTGACTGCATGTACATGTTGCTGTCAAGACAGAGCACTGGAATTCCTGCACGCACATGCTGCTGACAAGACACCAGTTTGCCCTTTCCCCCGAACATGGAACATGCGCACAGCGTACGTAGCACAGCTGACTGCATGTACATGTTGCTGTCAAGACAGAGCACTGCAAGTCCTGCACGCACATGCTGCTGACAAGACATAGCGCAGCAACTTCACAACTCTCCAAACACGTCTAACACAGCAGCTCACTCCCAAGACATGTTCTGTACAGCTCGCACTAGTAGTGTCGTGAGTCGTTAGGGAAAACACTCGGAAACACGCCTTCGATGTTTTCCACGCGACGAGAGGTCGAGCTAGCAAACACCCTCCCTAGTAGTGTAGTGTCCTCAGGGAAAACACTGTAGCATTCCGAGACGGAGAAGGAAACACACCGTCGATGTTTTCCTAGCGACTCGAGATCGAGCTAGCCATCACTGTCCTAACACGCCTCGCTTCTCATGATTGAAACTCCGGCCAAGGCGGCCACGCAGCCACAAGTCAGCAAATTATCTTGTCGGAGACGGTGGATGGACAAAATCCTGCATGACCCCCTACGTTACACGTGTGCGACGGTTGGTAATCGAGCTCCCCGCACCCCTCAAATTTCAATGTTGCGTGCACATGTGGATGATGCAGGATTTCGGTCATTCGCGCATGTGCCGTTTCGAGGCATTCTAAGGACAACAATGTTAAGATTCAGGGTTTGGAAGGGATGACCTGCGTAATAAAAGTGATGCAGGATTTCGTCCATCAACAGTACAACAGCATAGTGGATACGAGCCCTTCTCCCCGCCCCAAACTTGGGAGGTGGAAGAAAAGCCATCAACTGCAAAGGCGAGGCCATCCTACACCGCGCGGCCCCTACACCCTCAACTCTATACCCCGAACAGTGCACACCAAGCTCTAAACCGTGAACCCTGATCTACTTGGGTCGCTCTCGGGTCTCTTTTTGGGTCCCCGAGGATAAGGCACCCTGAAGGGACCCTAAGTTGGAAAACTATCCAAACAAACCTGCACCATCAAGCCAAAACCCTAGCCCTAAACCCTAAACCCTAAACCCCAAGCCCTAAACCCCAGACCCTATGCATGCCCTTTGCTTCTGCAGAGGTGATCATCGACCGCTTCGGGCGATATCCGCCTCTCAGACGCACTTTTCGGATGTAGGGACCTTTGTGTAAAGCCTTGGGTTTTAGGGTTTTGGGTTTTAGGGTTTGGGTTTAGGGTTTGTTTTGGGTTCTGGGGTGTTTTTTGACTTCAGGGTTTTAGGGTTTACATAGGGCTTTCAGGTTTTGGAGTTTTTATTCTTTCAGGGGGGTTTTAGGGGTTTTAGGGGGATTTTTAGGGGGTTTTAGGGGGTTTTAGGGTGCTTTGTAAACTTCATTATGACATCGAAAGTGGAAACCGTTCTCCGACTGCACTGGGGAACCCGCTAAAAACAAAAACCTAACAATTTCCCTAAGCACCAAACCCAAAACGACCCAAAGCTCCCAAACCCAAAGCCTTCCCGAAGCTTCTAAACCTCCTAAACCCTAAACATGCCCTGAACCTAAAACCTAAACTCTTGTGTTCAAAACGATCCCGGCCTTTGCCGCCGGACCCGCACCCGGGTTTGGGGTTTAGGGTTAAGGGTTATACCCACTCCTTGCGGACCCTTGCCTGTTCATGGTACTTAGTAACCGAATTATCACCGTACTTATAACCCGATTATAACCCTTATCAGGTTTTTCAGGGGCTTCAAGGTGGGTTTGCACTCCTAGTTGGGTAAACCCTAAACCCTAAACCCTAAACCCTAAACCTTAAACCCCTGAGCCTCCAAGTGTGGTCTGCCACTCGGGGCGAAGCGCATGATGCCGTCGAAGGGTGCAGGTTTAGGGTTCAGGGTTCATCGGGCTCTAAAGGCTTTAAATGGGGCTTATCGGGTTTACATGGGCTTAAAAGGGCTTCTCAGAAGGGTTTTAAGAGGCAGAAACTGGCCTGTTCCTTTCAGGCTTGGCTTGAGTGACCCTAAACCTAAACCCTAAACCCTAAGACCCTAAACCCTAAACCCTAAATGCACCTGCACTGCAGGTCTTTACCCCACCCCCTCCCCCCCCCCCCCAAAAAAAAAAAAAAAAAAAAAACTGAACCTTAGCCTGCGTTTAAAGATGCAAGACCCTGAATCCAAAAGTTCCCGCATCCTAGAACCCCCAAAACATCCTCAAATATCTTCCTTGCATCTCCCAGGCCCGAAACCCCCAAACCCCAAGCCTTAAATTCTAAGCCCTAAGCACCTTAAAGACTGAATTCCCAGTCCTAAACAGCCTACACCCCCAACCTTACAAGCCCCAGGCACCGCAAACACTAACCGTGAAAACCCTGCAATTAGACCCTAAACTTTTAACCCTAAAGACTAACCCCCAATCTTTAAACCCTCAACTCCCCAATATAAGAGCCCAGGTATCGAAACCCAGCACTGGGAAGGACAAACACCCCCGAAGAGGCAGAGACACTGCTGAAGCTGCTCTTAAGGTTTGGATTGGAGTCGGGAGGTTTAGGGGTTGAGGGGTTGAAGGTTTAGAGTGTTGTTTTTGCATTTTTGGTGTTAGGAATGGGGCTTGCATTTTACTTGTCGGGTTACAAGTACCCTTATCAGGTGATACACAGTTACGCTACTCATAACCCTTCATCTAGGTACCCATGATCCTTCAAGTATACCGTAAACCCTAAACCCTAAGCCCTAGGCCCGTAGGGTTTCAAGGTTCAGGATAGCCGCAATTCAGGATTGCTAATCCTCTAAAACCCCAAACTTCCTAAACCCGTTATTGGGGGAGTGGAAGGGTTTTTTGTCCTGGCGTTTAGGGTGGCTTTAGCAGTGTGTAGGCTGCCGTTGGGGAGCTGCAAGCCCCTTTCGCCCGGTGTGTGTAGTGTTGAAGTCAGAAACCCTGTACCTTAAGCCCTAGAACCCAAAGTTCAGACAACCCTATAGCCTTAAACCCGCACTCAGCCCTGCGCCCTAGGACCCCCAAAGTTTAAGGCAACCCGAAGAACAGGGGTTAGGGTTTAGGGGCCATGCAGATTTACACAGGGGGTGCTTGCAAATAAGATAGGGGTACCTTGCATACCGCTGAACTCGAGTGCTCCATGCCCGGTAGTCCAGGCCTTGTAGAGCCCAGGGCTCGTGGCCATGGCTACCATGGGAGCAGCTCTGCTGCAGGGAGACAACAAGAGCCGCAGCTTCGCTGAACAGCGTTAAGGGGTTCGGGTTGTGGGCGGTGGGTTTGGTTGGGTGCACGGCTTCGGGTTTAAGGCTTAAAGCGGGGAAAGGTGGTAAGTTTAGGGTTACGGGGGTTTAAGGGTCTGGGGTTGATATTGTTTAACAGAATGTAAGGGGGAGGGCGGGCCTTGGCAGAAGCAGGGGCGCGAGAAGAAAACCCAAAACCCAAAACCCTTAAACCCTGAATCCCTACAAACCCTACAAACCCCAAAACCTAAACCCTGAACCCGAAACCCTAAACCCTAAGCTGCAAGGCAACCGACAGATCATCACTCTGACCAGAAGCAGAGCCTGGGAACGCGCCCTGCGCCTTTGGCGGCCACCCCAAACCCCAAACCCCAAACCCCAAACCCCAAACCCCAAACCCCAAACCCTACACTCCTCTGAGCACTACACTCCCCACAAGCCCAACAAGCCCTACGAAACCTGGACAAGCCCCTCTGATTCCAGGCCTTTCGAAGGCCGCTGCCAGCTAAGGTGGTCTCTTCGCCAGATGCCGGCAGACCAGGCAAGGACAACTAGTTCAGACCCGCCCCCCCTCACCCCGCCTCTCGCCACCTCGAGATCTAAGTACAGATCCAAGCCACCGAAATCTGAAACCTTTGTGCGCTAAGAACTACAACTTTAGATGAGCCAGTTGTCCTTTACTGGAACCCGAAAGGGTTCAGGGCCTTTTTTTGGGGTCAACCCTGCATCAACAAGCCTTCCAAAATACTCCCCCGAACCTTCACCAGGTCCACCAAGTCCATCCTGAAATCCCCCAAAAAAGCCCTCTAACCCCCACAGAACCCCCCACAAGACGCCCTTTAACAAACAGAAGCTTTAGGGTTTAGGGTTTAGGGTTTAGGGATAGCAACCCCCAAACAACTCGAGAAATATCCCAAGCTCACCAGGCACAGCCCACCGTGGTCGGCTACGGCGCAGGAATCCAGGCCTGCACGCGCAAACACCGCCAAAAAGCCCTCAACCCCAAGCCCTAAATCCTAGTCAGACCCTACAGTCTTAAACAGGGATTAGGTAAAACCCGGAGGGGCCTAAACCCTAAACCCCAAACCCGAAACCCCAAACCCCAAACCCGAAACCCCAAACCCCAAACCCTAAACCCTAAACCCTAAACCCTAAACCCTCAATCCAGGCCTGTTCGCGCGCTGGGCTTTGGTTCCTGGGGCTCCGACTTCTCTCTGGCATGGCCCCTCGGGCTGGGCCTTTGTAGGGTTTAGGGTTTAGGGTTTAGGGTTTAGGGTTTAGGGTTTAGGGATTGGGGTTTAGGATTCGGGTTGAGGGTATAAGGTCTTGAGGGTCTTTGGGGTATTTAGGGTCTACAGGGTCTACAGGGTCTACAGTGTCTACAGGGCTTTAAAATTATAGGGGACTTCGCAGCCATAAAACCCTAAACACTAAACCCTAAACCCCAAACCCCAAACCCCAAACCCCTAAACCCTAAACCCTAAACCCTAAACCCTAAACCCTAAACCCTAAACCCTAAACCCTAAACCCTAAACCCTAAACCCTAAACCCTAACCCGAAGCCAGTGAGCCGATAGGAGCCCAGAGCCAAGGCTGATGTCAGGGCCACGCCCAATGCTGCAAGCTCCCCGGTCCACTCCATTCTGGGAACCTAAACTCCAACCCTGGGGGTTTAGGGTTTAGGGTTTAGGGTTTAGGGTTTAGGGTTTAGGGTTTAGGGTTTAGGGTTTAGGGTTGAGGGTTCGAGGGCAAGCCTAAACCTGAACTCTCCAAACCCTGAAACCTCTGGTTTCACCTGTCTTCGCTGTTCAGGGCCAACCACCCGCAACTCTTTTCGTTTTTACTTGGTAGCCCAGAGGTACCTTTTTCAGCCTGTTTTGTTAAGTTCCCTGATAAAGAAACCAACCCAAAACAGGGCACCCTTTTTGTAATGTTGTGGGTCTTACAACTCATAGGGTCTGTAGGACTCAGGGCTTACATAGGCTTTAGGGAGTTTTAGGGGGTGTTTACCCTTAGGCTCAACATAGACCAATAACCTTTTATAGTAAGGCCTTTGGGCCCAAACACCTTCAAAAAGAGAGTCTGTGGAGCTAGGGTTTTGGGTTTAGGGTTTAGTGTTCGGGGTTGAGCGTGCTCAGCCTACTCCACGGCGATCAGCAGTCTGGGGGAGGAAGCGCAGTGGAAGCTAGCCTTCGAGATCTTCTCCGTTGCTGGGGCCGAGGAAGTTCAGTGGTTTACCCTAAACCCTTAACCTTAGACCCTAGACCCTGAGGAGGGTTTAGGCTATTATGGGGCTTATTTATTGGCATTAGGGTCGCGAAGTAGTGCTTACATCGCGGTATAGGTTTTATGACTGTAGCCTTCTGGGCTTCAAGTGTGCGATTGCGCGATTGTAGCCTTCTGGGTTTCAAGTGCCCTGGAGTTTGTTTGTCTTGTGTTTCGTGGAATTAGCCCCAAAAGCCCGAAAACCTAAACCCTAAACCCTAAACCCTAAACCCTAAACCCTAAACCCTAAACTAAACCCACTGAGGGGATGCCCAGAGCTGCTACTTCGGCCACCAGGTTCAGCTACAATACCAGCATCACCGTCTGCGCGGAGGAGCCAACGGCTAAAGACGGGAACCTCATAATGACCAAGTTTAGGGTTTAGGGTTTAGGGTTTAGGGTTTATGGTTTAGGGTTCAAGAGCTCCTGGTCGAGCAGTTTCTCGTTTAGGTTCGCTGTTTAGACCATCGAAAAATACCCACCCACCCGGAGTTCCCATAACATTAAGAAATATAAAGTTTCTTCTTATTTTTAGGATGCTCAACATCAAAACTGATGGGTTTGGGGTCTCAAGGGTTTAGGGTTTCAAGAGTTTAGGGACTCAAGGCTTTAGGGTCTCAAAGGGTTTAGGGGCTCAAGGGTTTAAGGTCTCAAGGGTTTAGGGTCTCAAGGGTTTAGGGTCTCAAGGGTTGAGGGGCTCCAGGCCGGGCCTTGCCCACGAATATTTGAGCCTTGCCCACGAATACTTGGGCCTTGCCCACGAATGTTTGGGCCTTGCCCACGAATCTTTGGGCCTTGCCCACGCATATTTGGGCCTTGCCCACGAACCAAAAGGCCCAAACAATTCGTGGGCAAGGCCCAAAATCCGAATATTTGGGCCTTGCCCACGAATCTGTGGGCCTTGCCCACGAATATTTGGGCCTTGCCCACGAATATTTGGGCCTTGCCCACGAATCTTTGGGCCTTGCCCACGAATCGTGGGCCTTGCCCACGAATATTTGGGCCTTGCCCACGAATATTTGGGCCTTGCCCATGAATCTTTGGGCCTTGCCCACGAATCTTTGGGCCTTGCGCACGAATATTTGGGCCTTGCGCACGAATATTTGGGCCTTGCCCACGAATATTTGGGCCTTGCCCACGAATCTTTGGGCCTTGCCCACGAATCTTTGGGCCTTGCCCACGAATCTTTGGGTCTTGCCCACGAATCTTTGGGCCTTGCCCACGAATCTTTGGGCCTTGCCCACGAATATTTGGGCCTTGCCCACGAATATTTGGGCCTTGCCCACGAATATTTGGGCCTTGCCCACGAATATTTGGGCCTTTTTGCTCATGAATCTTTGGGCCTTGCCCACGATTCTTTGGGCCTTGCCCACGAATCTTTGGGCCTTGCCCACGAATTTTTGGGCCTTGCCCACGATTCTTTGGGCCTTGCCCACGAATCTTTGGGCCTTGCCCACGAATCTTTGGGCTTTGCCCACGAATATTTGGGCCTTGCCCACGAATACCATTAAGGTTTATATGGTAGGAGAGGTTTAGGGTTTAGGATGTTTACTGGGGCTTCAGGTTTTGGGTTGATGTTCTCCCTGTATAGCTAGGCAGCTATGCAACTCCTTCCTGGAGAGATCCTGCACGCCCTAAACCCCAAACCCTATAAACCCCAAAACCCACCCAAATGATCTGTCTGAGATTTTGGCCAAAACGAACGCTTGCATCCTCAAATTCGAAGCGCTATCGACCACCGTCGAAAAACCCATGTCAGGATGCCTTATCATCAGAAAGAAGAAGCCCCCCCCAGGGAGGAATGTCCTGGAGCCCTTGTTCTCTCAACATCAACCAGCAATCACAACTTAACCCTAAAGTCGAAAGCAAACCCAGAAGCCCGAAAATGCCCAAGCCCTAAACCCTAAACCCTAAACCCTAAACCCTAAAAACCAGAGGAGCAGTGGGGGGGTGCATTGTCCCTCTTCTTCGAGATGCCATCAGCGAAGGCTTCCAGTGCTCCTCAAGTTAGGGTTCAGGGTTTAGGGTTTAGGGTTTAGGGTTTAGGGGTTAGGGGTTAGGTTTAGAGTTTAGGGTTTACGCTTGCGGGCCGGGCCTGCTTGAAGGTTCATGGTTTCTTGCATATGCTGGGTTATACATACCCACAAAACAGGTTATAACCGTAGTTGCCCTGACCCTTAAAACCCTACTTGTACGAACCCTAAACCCGAACCATAAACACTAAACCCTAAACCCTAACCCTAAACCCTAAATCCTAAACCCTAAACCTTAAACCCTCAACCCTAAACCCTAAACCCTAATGAAACCCTAAACCCTGAACCTCCAAGATGGGCCCTACCACCCTCAGAAAGGGTAGCTGGGGCGCGGCCCGGTCTTGGGTTTGGTTTTTTTGGTTTTTGCATCTTGTGCTGGAGGGCAGCCGTGTCCAAGCTTTAAGAGCCGTCAGCCCTGCTTGGAGGTTCATGGGTACTTTTAGGGTTTAGGATTTAGGGTTTATAAGGGTTTAGGGTTTCTAAGGGTTTAGGGTTTACGTTTTATATGGAGGTGTATAAGTATCCCAAATTGACGCTACAAACTTGCCCGACCTAGAACCTTACTTGTAGGTACCCGTACACCTCTACGTAGACCAGCCGCAGCATGGGACCCTCTGTCATTAGGGCTTCGTGGGGTCGATCGGGCTGGGGTTCTGTCGGGGTCTCACCGGGCCTATAGGGCTTATAGGGCTTATAGGGCTCATAGGGCTTATAGGGTCAGGTTACGGAGCCCTCAGTCGCCTGTATTGGAGCAGGTCGTGGCGGACGTCATCAGCTTCAACGCGACGGTGAGCTCTTCAGGAAGGGCAAGTCGTTGGCAGCATGCACTTTGTGTGCCCGGAGCTTCAAGCTTAAGGTTTTGGGGGGTTAAGGGGTTGTATAGGGTTGAGGGCTTAGAGGGTTTGCAACCCATGGGACCAGATATAGCAACTCTGGTGAGGAAGCCCCGACATAGGAGTCGCTTGCCGGATTCATAATGTCATAGCATCCAGCTGGCACCATTCTTACGATATCGGATTCAGGCCTGGTTAGGAAAAAATTAGCAGTTGACGACTTCTTAAATGCCCTTTCACGAGTGGTGCAAAGACTTGTAGGAACCCAGATGCCACCCTTGTACCAGCAAGCCACCTTCCGATTTGAGGTGTTCTCGGGGTTGTCGACAGCACGACTTGCCGCCGACGGAATCGGCTGCAATGCCAGCATCAGTGCCTGTGGGAGGGGACACTGGCAACTCTCCTTGCTGCTGCTGTCATCAATGCTTCCCCGGAGCTTGGTACCTGACGAGATCAGCTATGGCTCGGCCATTAGCTCGTGCGCAAAGGCTGGAGAGTGGCAGCTCGCGCTTCAGCTGCTGTCAGACATGACTGCTGCTGAGGTTCTCACAAATCTAGTAATTCTCAACTCTGCCATCAGCGCCTGTGAGAAGCAGGGCGAGTGGCAGGTAGCGCTGCAGTTGCTGCAGGATGTCGCTCTCGCCAGGACCGTCTTTGGGAAGGGAAAGCGCTTCAGCTCTCCAGCTCTTTGGGAATGGGGGGGGGGTTTAGGGTTCGGGGGTTTAAGGTTTAGGGTGTAGGGTTTTGGGTCGGGTTGGGGGGTGGGGGATTCATTCACACGACCATTCAAAAAAAACATCTGTGTATTGGGTTTGGGGTCCTCAGCTGACCAGGCTTACAGCCGACATCATCACTTGCAGTGCCGCCGTCAGTTCCTGCGAGAAGGGCGGAGCCTGGCGTCAAGCGCTCGCGTTGCTTGCAGAGGTGGCCGCCATCAGGGAGCAACCAAACGTGGTCAGCTTCAGCGCTGGAATCTTGGCCGTTCTTTCAGGCAGAACGCCCCGAACAGGGCGATCATGTTCTCAAGCGTGTTCCCCTTTTATAGGCTTATAGGGCCTAATGTAGGGTTAATCGGGCGTAGAGGGCGAAACACCGAGGCATCAGTGCATGCGAGGAAGGGGCGAACTGGCGACTGGCCATACACCTGCTGCAGGAGATGGTGGCTTCCATCGTTGCCCCAAACATCGTCGCTAAGACCATTTTGGGAACACAGGTGAAATCTGTCGGTTCGGTAAGTTCGTTGCTAAAAAGTGGCCAGACATGCTGTTGAAGAGGTGTCATGCAAAGCTGAGGTCAGCTTCAGCGGCTGCATCAGCGCCTGCGAGAAGTGCGGGCGCTGGGACGTGGTCCTTTCCCTGCTCGCCTCAATGCATGGTTCGCGAATCCAGGCAAGCACCTGACCACCGCACTTGCAGTTCTCTGACGGGGTACCCAAAAGGCAAGAAAGAGTCCTTGTTATCATAGGTACACCAAAAGATCTATCCGGGTGTTTCTCTGGTTAAACTGCTGTTAAACTCTCCGAGATCCGGGGACCAGGCAGACGCCATCAGCTTCAGTGCCGCAATCAGCTCTTGCGAGACTGGGAACTGAATTCGCTTGCCATAACAAGGCTTCTATATGTGCATAATAATTAGTATGTATTTATATATACTACAACAACAGTACCCTAAACCCTAAACCATAAGCCCTTATATGAACACATACTCATATACATACGTATATATATATATAATATGTCTACATACATATATATACACATTGACTTACTTGTTTATTTGGCACACTTGTTCCGGAAGCTTAGGCAAAAGTTCCTTAAGAAGAGTCCCAGGAGAAGGCCGGGGAGTGGCGGACTGCCTTGCTCCTCGAAAGAGAATTCAGGATCCTGTCTAAGGATCGGGTTTAGGGTTTGGGGTTTAGGGTTAGGTTTAGGGTTTAAGTTTAGGGCTTAGGGCTTAGGGTTTAGGGTTTAGGGTTTAGGGTTTAGGATTTAGGGTTTAGGGTTTAGGGTTTAGGGTTTAGGGTTTAGGGTTTAGGGTTTAGGGGGGCTTCCTGGACCACTGGGTTTAGGGTTTAGGGTTTACTTAACAAAGGCCCAAGCCCAGTGTGCCCTTCATGGCAGGTGCCTTACAGGGTACTTGGGGTGTTTCGGCCGGGATTAGAAGGTATTCTTTGCTGAGCTATGACGTGTATGATGTGTTGGTTCACGGTGGCAGGCTTCTTGCAGAAGTTTAAGACGATGCCCTGAATTACTAAACCCTAAGCTACCTAAAACCCCTAAAATCCCCATATCCCTAGCACAGGATCCTCTTCGCAGAGCTTCTCGATGCCCGCCTGGCCCCCACGACGGTCACCCTGAGCGCCATGCTCCGCACCCTCGCGACGGCTGGGCCTTGGGAACTGTCCCTTCACCTGCTTTCGCTCTTTTCCTTCTGCTGCTGGGCAGCAGTAGGCCCTTATTACCCTGTAGTTTTATGGGTTATACCTGCTAGTCAAGGGTAGTTGCTACTAAGCTGTGTAAATAAATAGAGTCCCAGGTAAACCCTATGAACCCTCTTCGAACCCGATGCATCCACCCTAGCAACCCTCAACCCCGTAAACCCCAAATCCTCCCAAATCAGGGCTCAGACCTTCATATTCCTTGATGCCAACGACGAATCCCCACGACTTTCGACCAACCGGAGGCCTTATGCTTCCAGGAACCCAATAGTTAGGTTACTAGAACCCTTGGGGGTATAAACTCCTACTCGGTTGAGGAGTGCGGACAAGGCAATACAGGCTGAGACCTGCTAAAATCAGTTGAGGAGTGTCTTTGGGCTGACTGTTTATATGTACCTTATAAACCCTAAGCCCTCAACCCGCCAGATAGACTCTACATTCGAAGCTGAGTCTACACCCCAACACTCCAAACCCTACCGCGAAGGGTCCATGTACCTGTATTACATACCTGGGCCCTACAGCTACTATATAGGAACCCCTTGAAGGCCCCCAAGTAGAGACTCTGTAAGTGACATGGGTCCTTTCGGCACTTGAAGGTTCACGGATATACTGATGAAGCAGGGTTAGTCAAAACCTGCCCCCCGCCCACCCACCCTCCCTCCCCCAAAAACACGGGCATAGCCGTAGGTACCCTACTGAAAAGAGCCCACGTGCTTGCAAGCAACCATTGAACCTCCAAGTGAAGCCCTCCGAAGGCCACCTGCACGGAGCTACCAGCTTCGGGGACGCCGCCCGCGCATGCGAACGGGGCGGGAGCTGGCACGGCGTTGTGCAGCTTCTGCCGGAAGTGGAGCTGAGAGCGTGCCAGTGGTTGGACTCCTACCGGTCTCAGTAGGGGGTTAGGGTTTAGGGTTTAGGGTTTAGGATTTAGGGGCAAAAATTCGCTTCGACGTACTCTTCTGTCGTGCGCCGTTCAACTGCCACTGCAGCTGCGAGAAAGATGTTTGGGATTTAGGACTTGCTCAGAGCCTCGCAGACCCTGACAGGGTATACACTCACCGATATTTATAAGGAACCATAAATACACTCGCCAATAAACAGTACCATATTCCCTACTCCGTTTAATATGTTACTGATTTTCGTATGCTTTCCCAAATAAAAGTTGACATTTTTTTTATCGGCCCCGCCCCCCAAACCCACCCCGGAACGGCACTAACAAACCCCAAACCCTAAACCCTAAAGTCCTAAGCCCCTAAAGCCCTGAAGCCCTAAACTTGAACCCCTAAATCTGAAACCCGGAACCTTAAACCCTAAACCCTACACCCTAAACCCTAAACCCTATACCTTGTGCCTCCCAAGCGCCCCATGTAGAAGGAATCCTGGCTCTCCGACTACGACGCCTTGCCAGGTTTTGCAAAGCTCCCCGGAGGGCACCCTATTTGCTTCAACAATTGGAGGGTTTAGGGTTTAGGGTTTAGGGTTTAGGGTTTAGGGTTTAGGGTTTAGGGCTTAGGGCTTAGGGCTTAGGGGCACCTGTTTCTTTCAGCTTGAGGGCTTTCTACGGGGTCAGGAAGTTTAGGTTTTTCAGGGTGGATTTGTCGTTTGCAGTTTGGGTTTAGGGTCTACTTGGGGAGGTTCATGGGTACGTAGAAGTAGGGTTATATGTAGGGAACTTGTAGCAATCACCCAACTTGGGGGTACTCGTAACCCTACTTATAAGCACCCCTGACAGGGTGCCGGGGTGCGGCTTTGACAGCTTTAAGGCTTTCTTTGGATTTGGAGTTTCGGGTTTGGCGGTGTCGGTGTGTGGTCTTTCAGGGCCTTTGGTTGTGGGCGCTCCGTTGGGGCCGCATAGAAACCCTGATACTTTGCATCCCCAAACCCGGAACGGCCCTAAACCCTAAACCCTAAATACGATTTGCGATGAATCCTGTAAGCCGTACTCAGCTAAAGGCAGCAAGGACTTTCCGCCCTGCAAGGAACCCCCGCTTGTAGGTTTAGGGTTAGTTCTTTCTTCTTTTTTTGGGGTGGGGGGGGGGGGGGGGGGGGCACCAATAGTTTTCTTTTCATATGCCCCAACCCTGAACCCGAAAGTCTCAAAAAGCTGGCACCACCAAAAAAGGAACTGCAATTAGAGGGTGTACCTACCCCTAAAACCCTAAAACCCTAAACCCTAAACCTGACCCCTGAACCCTGAACCCTAACCCTAAACCCTAAACCCTGGCGCCCCAATGCTCAAAGTAAGGTCGCAGATGCCGCCGCCGCAGAAGTGAGGGCCGGAGAGCTATACCCAGACACTCCAGTGCCCTTAGGTGTAGAGAAGATTGCTGAAAGAGGGTTTCGAGTTTAGGGTTAAGGGTTTCGGGTTAGGTTCAGGGTTTAGGGGTTTGTAGGGCCTTAAGCTCAACGCTCTTAGGCTTCCGTATGTCCGCATGGAATTATCAGAAGTGGGAGAGTCGAACCTGGATGGACCATGGATTGACCATGGCTCGCTAGGCAGTTGGGTGGTCTAGGGCTTATAGTTAGAGCTTAGTGAGTCTAAACCCTAAACCCTAAAGCCTGAACCCCAAACCCCAAAACCCAATCCGTTGAAGGGTTTAGGAAACGTACAGGCTCCGTGAAGTGAAGAGGACACGCAGCTGGCGCAGCAAAAAAGAAGCCCATCAACCTTGAAACCCTGGACCCTAAACCCTAAACTCTAAACCCTAAACCCTACACCCTAAGCCCTAAGCCCTAAGCCCTAAGCCCTAAACCCTAAACCCTAAACCTAAACCCAATCCCTAGACCCTAAGCAGCCGAAAACCGGAGATTTCCTGAACCCTCAAAACCCTGACTATACCTGACCCCCGAACCGGTTTTGGCGTAACCCTAGGTTTATAGAGCCTGCACTCCCCAGAACCCCTGAAGCCTCAAGCTTTTTCCAAAAAATGGTCGCTGAGCCTCAGTAGGGAGCGGAAACGCAGAACCCTTGAAAGCTCAAATCTATAGTGCCATGCTCCCCCGCCCCACCAAAAAAATAACAGGAAAAACTAGTGTTTTATCAAATAGTAGTCATAACAGAAAGAGAAGAAACACATCCCTGAAACCTAAGCCCTAAGCCCGATTGTGAGTCATGACCCCTGCCAGATTGTCGTCATAGATGCACAAGCATTGCAGGATCTCGGAGATTGGCCTGTTCTAGTCCTTGCCTGAACTCTTGCAACTCTTTTGTTGTGAGCTTGAGGGTTGGTTGCATGTAAGGTTTGCGGGGTGTGGAGTATGTGGCTGCCGGAGTTCTTTGAAGACTTCGGTCTCGTGCCCAGCACGTCGACTAACAATACAGTATTCAATACAGGTCTCTGAAACAGGTCTCGCGTAGACTGGGTACGCGCAGGTTGTAGCTGTTCCATATAACAGCTCGCTAAACCCGCTAAACTCAGGGCAAGACCCTGAACCCTGAACCCTAAACCCTAAACCCTCGTAACCTTGCTGAGGCCCCTTTGTGGTGCCTCGCGGAGAGCGCCTGCGGGGGCACCAAGAGTCGCTCCACAAACCTGGGACCCAGAGTAGGCCCTCAGTCCATTTGTTTGGGTTGGGATCAGGGTTTCGGGTTTAGGGTTTAGGGTCTGTGCTTGGTTGGGCTAGGAGCTCAGGGTAGGCCCTTAGTCCCTTTTGTTGAGGTTTAGGTTCCCTTACATGCCCTTTCTATTCCTAGGTTAGTCTTGGGTCCAGGAACGCTGACGCTTTCAGGTCTTGCGGTTTCGGGCGCTTCGGGTTTTTAGGTTTCCGGGTTCGAGGTGTGTAAGCTTAGGTTTTCAGGGCACGTTACACTCCTGGAGGCCTGTGGCGAAGGAACCCTAAACCTTAAACCGTAGACCCTAAACCCCAAACCCTAAACCCCAGACGGGGAATCCTCGGGCGACTTGCGGGTTCGGGGGGGGGGGGGTAGGGGGGGGGGTAGGGGGGGGGGTAGGGGGGGGGGTAGGGGGGGGGGGGGGGGGGTGGGGGGGGGGGGTATGAGGGCAGAGAAGGGATGGTCCCGACAACTGGTAGCTGAGGGCTACGGCCAGCACATGGGAGGGTTTAGGGCTTGGGGTTTAGGGTTTGGGGTTTAGGGTTTGGGGTTTGGGGTTTAGGGTTTTTGGTTTAGAGTTTGGGGTTTAGGGTTTAGGGTTTAGGGTTTTTGGTTTAGGGCTTGGGGTTTGGGGTTTGGGGTTTGGGTTTTAGGCTTTAGGCTTTAGGCTTTAGGGCTTAGGGTTTCGTAAGTTAGGGTTTAGGGTTCCAAGGTTGTTCTGCGAAAGACTGCCATCAGCGGAAACCCAAAGCCCAAAGCTGTTCTTGTACAGGTTTAAAGGCTATGGGCCACGAACCTTCAATTAGGGGTTGCCAGGGATCAAGGGTTAAGGGTTGGGATCCTTGAAAGGTCGGTTTAGGGCTTGAGAGGGTTTAGAGATTTTGGTTTTGAGGCTTACGGGTTTGGATTTTTGGCGGCTTTGCAAAGGGCCTAGGGTCGAGGAGCTTAGCGTTGAGGCTTTTCAGGCCTAGCGAAAGACCAACCCTAAACCCTAAACCCTAAACCCTAAACCCAAAACCCAAAACCCACTACAAGAGCACTATCCCCCCCCCCCCCCCCCCCCCGCGTTTGACCCCAAAGCACTCCGGCACCGACTCCTCTCTTCAAGAATCCCAGAGTAGGCCCTTGGTCCCTTTTTGGGGGGTTTAGGGTTTAGGGGTTTAGGGCTTAGGTCTAGAAACCCGGAGTCGACCTTTTCTCCTTTTTTAGTGTTTAAGTTCCCTTATATTCAACTTTGAAACCAAAAAGGGTATCCTTCTTCTTCCTAAATTGCTCTTGGTCTAGTCTCTTTGTTTTTGGATCAGACCCCTGAAGCCTTAAGCCCCTTGAACTCCAAGTGGGTGTGGGGTTTTGGGGTTTGGGGTTAGGACTTAAGACCCTTGCTTCAAGCTTTAGACTTTCCAGATGAACAAATGGATGCCTCGAACCCTAAACCCTACTTGGAGGTTCATGGTACTTATTAACCAAAAATGATTGTACTTATAACTGTACTTATAACCATATTAGGGCACTTAAGTGGCTTGTAGCTGGGTTCTAAGTGCAGTCATAATTGGTTAATAAGTACCATGAACGAAGTGTGACGTGTCGAGGTCACCCTCTTCACCACCGAAGAGAGTGAGGCCCCGGGGATCTCGGATCAGGGCGGCGTTTCTGTACTAGAAACCCTAAGCTTCTCTGAACCTTTATACACATAAAAAAAAAAAAAAAACCAATGTGGTACCCTTAAGGGTTTAGGGAGAACATACACACGTGGTCTAGGGTGTACATAGGGAGTTCGGTATCTCCCAAGTGTGGATACTGCGCAGTTCTTCAAGGCCAGTCAAAAAGTAGAGGGTTTAGGGTTCAGGGTGTGGGGTTTGGGGTAAAAGGGTCAGGGTTCAACTTTCACCTAGGCACCCCGAGCACCATTTACGGTACCCCAGTGCCCTCATTGAGGTACACTTGTGGCAGGAGAGTAGCTGATAAGTAGCCCGCGGATGCGTACCCAGAAGCGGGTAACCGCTCCAGCCGGACCATTTGTGCGTTCAGTGCCTATTCTTTAGGGCTTCCTTACGGCTACTTAGAAGCACGGAAGCGGCCCTAAAGCTGCCAGTTATTGCAGGACCTTTACTTTGAATAAGTAAAGGGCGCCTTGTGTTTGGCATGTTTTCCGGGCACTTAACTGCCGCCTTTCGGCCCTAATCCCAGAAACCTAAACCCGATGACGGCAAGACATCAGGGTGGTTGTACTCGTAGGGTGCAGAGCCTTTTTTTAAGGTACCCCAACATACCCCCATCACGACGCCCTTAGGCCTTTTTCAGAGGTGCTTCAGGGCGTCCAGGTTTTCCCCTAGACCCAAAAC